ACCTTCTTGATGATTATAGCTTCAAACAGTTTGCTGATGACATTGAGAAGAATGATGAGTCTATATTCTGAGGTGCATGAGCGCTCACCTGCTTACTTGAAAATTGAACATACACTTTGAGGCTTTTCACAGATTTTAGAAGCGGTTAAATAGTTTCGCTAGGATAGGGGATAGCTCTGGGTTAATATTCTTAAGGAATACCACGAGGATTTTGTCTTAAGCAGTGACCTTATTAGGATCAAGAGTTTTGACAAAGAAAGAGATTTCCTGGACTGTAATGAAAATGTTAGTGAGATTGTGCTCAGTAACATGTGGGAAGTCGGGAAGGGGATGGCCTTTGTCATCTAAAGTTAAGTTAGAGGCAGAGATTGAGGCGAATAGAGGACATCAGGATCATTATGCTTTGCCTGTATTCAGAATTTTGTTAGAGATCTTCCAGAAATACCGGGGTTCAATTTGATTGCTTTCAACCTTGCTCGAGCATAGCTACACTTTGCATTTTCTAGAACTCTCTTGCAGCGGTTGTAGGAAGTTACGAATGCGGAAAGTGTCCCACTACACCGCTCCCTGTGATAGGTATTCTAGTAGTGGTTACGATGAGTTATCGGGGAAGCACATTCGGGGGTGAACTATGACTGGCTGTTCTGTTTCTGCTGAATTTTTTTCTGGGGTATAAAACTCTCCATCCCAGTAAGGGCCTATTCTGATACGAGGGCAGCAGTTTTGGAGGCTAAGAAAGGAGCTCCCGCCATTGAAGATCTGAAACTGTCCCTGTTTGCTTTCATGTATCGAAAAATGGTTTTATATATCGCTTTATACTGTATATACGTTATTTTTATAGATACAATTATTTAAGTAAATGCTCTATATATTATAAACAGTATTAACAACAACTGTCTATTTATTGTCAAATATACTCTGACTAATATACATTTGAAATGTGTTTTTGTCCAATTCTATTTAAAAAGAAAATTTCTTATTGTATATGTTACATCACCTTCCCTTCCCAAGCTCTCTCGATTTCACTCATATATACATACGTATAAATACATACACAGAGTCTCAAGATTTATGAAAAGTCTTGACCCTAAGAAGGTCATCAGTCCAGGCAAAATCACAATGGTTCTTAACAGTATTAACACGGAGTTATTCCCGATGATAGCGAAATTATTTAACCGCTGATTGAAGAAGAAATCCTTCCCAAGTCTGTGGACGGTGTCAAGTGTGTGTCCAGTTTTCAAGAATATGGGTGAGTGCTCATCCCTCTCACAGTATAGATCCATCAGTTTCCTCAGTGTCATTAGCAAACTCTATGAAGCTATAATCAACGTCTTCCCGAGCTGTAATGAAAATATTATTGAGTTGTGCTCGGGAATGGAGATGGCCTTTGTCATCTAATGTTGAATTCTAAGCAATTCAAGACGAAGAGCTTCGCCTTATCTGACAAGGATGATATAGTCTCGTGGTCATTTATAATAGAAGGCACTGATGCTTTGCCTCGGTTTAGAATTTGTTAGAGAACTTCCAGAACTTCCGGGATTCCATTTCTTTGCTTTCAGTCTTGAAATGGACTGCTCAGGCATAACTACACTTTGCATTTTCTAGAACTCTCTTGTAGCGGTTTGCGGGCAGTTCCAAATGCAGCAAGTGTCTTACTACGCAACTCCCTGTGATAGGTATTCTAGTAGTGGTTACGATGAGATATGGGGGAAGCCCATTTCGGGGGGGTGAACTACGACTGGCTGTTCGATTTCTGCTGGAAATTTATCTAGGGTATAAAACTCTCCATCTCAGTAAGGATCTATTCTGATACAAGGGCAGCAGTTTTGGAGATAGTGTGTTTGAAGACAGCTGAAAAAGGAGCTCCCACATTGAAAATCTGAAGCTGTCCCTGTGTGCTTTTGGTTTAGCCTCAACTTTGACACTCAGTAGACAGTGATCTGAAGTGTCTAACCGGGGTAAAACTTCTGCGAGACATTTTCCAGAGTATTACGTGAATCAGAGGTCAGTGAGGTTGACCTGATATCCTGTCACGTCAAGAACGCCGGTGGGTTCTTCAATGATCTACGTTAAATCGTAGGCGATGTAGAAGTCTTTAAAGTACCTGCCTTCTTCGTCAGTTTTTGTACGAGTGGACTAACCGCTCTCTGTAATGAATATTGAAGTCATCACAAATATGAAAGTTAGCCGAGGGAAATTCGTTGGGAATATATCATCAAACGTGTCAGATATTCTATCACGCATTAAAGCTCTATCATCCTGAGGCCAATATAGGGTAAAAATGAAGGCGGTACTGTGCATAACGGGGGATAAGGGTCCTCTGTTTTGGGGTCCCTGCAGCAGGGAAACCTGTTAATGTAGACGCCAAGTGCGTGGTACTTTTGCCGGTCTTGATTAGTTATTAGGGGTGAGTAACCCAGGATTACGAGCTCCTGCGGTGAAATAAATATATGAAGACCAGTTTCGGACAGGAATAGGTCAGGCTTGGAATCCAGTAGATTAAAAAATTCACTTCTAAACCTAATGTTGACATACCAGTTCCCGTACGATCACTGAAGTTAATTACTTTGATGTTTAACCAATTGGAAATACCAGCAGACAGAAACTTGCATATACAGATGATGCAATGGATAATGGTCCGGTATTGTTAATCGGATGGTCGAGTTCCAATTTCATTTGGGTTCGTTGTATTCACTTACACGCAAATACTCTTGGGAAAGGTATAAATCCGCCTCTTCTCCCCTAGCTACGGGTTAATTATTAAGACTTGTATCACTAAAACCATTATTATCTAAAAATAAAATAAGTAAAATAAAATTGCGTAGAAAATATTTATATTTCGGCATTAAATAACCCGCAGAGGTTGATGTGTCGCTAAACAAAATCTTTTTTACTTGGCGAACAATATTTGTTTTAATAAAATATTTAGTTCCAAACCGTGATATCAATTGCGAGGATTTTTGTGATTAGATTGTAATTCAATTTACATGAACCTCAGCTCCGGAACATTCGATTGTCTCAGCCTAGTCGTTTATATAATCATTGTTAAATGAAGTCCGCGTTTAAAGTTATGACTGAATAATGAGTTCGATCCTCACTGGGTGCCCCCATACTTTCGCCCTTGTGCCACATATAAGCCACGATTAGAAAATCGGTTGGACACTTCGAGGCGGTGTAATGGTTAACAAGCTTGTCTCGCTAGAACAGTTGCGACTGAATAATGAGTTCGATCCTCACTAGGTGCATCCATACTTTAGGTCTTCTGCCACGCTTGGAAAATCACTACCCACCTCAATGTTTCTTAAGTACTAAATATTGAATTCGATTTCAGAGACGTTGAAACATCAGTTGCCGTAGGATCAGCAAAGTTAAGCAATGTCGAGCCTGGTCGGTACCTAAAAGGGTGATCGCTTGTGAATACTAGATGCTGCAAGATTGGATGTGCGGGTGGTGAAATGAATACTAGCTCGAAATTGTAAATCGTAGAGCCGAGTTCCACTTCCTGTTGGGTTCGTTATATTCACTTACACGCAAACACTCTTGGGAAAGGCAGGAATCCAACTCTTTTCTCCATAGCTATGGGTTAATTAGTAAGACATGTATCACTAAAACCATTAGCAACTAAAGACATAGTTACACATAAAATTATGTAACTTCCGTCTGTCACACTCTCAAAAATAGCCATACATTAACGGATCAAAACGAAATTTTGCGGAGAAGTGCAATCAAATAATCAAAGTACAATCGATTTTACTAAGTTGCGTTTCTTAGTGCAATAAATTTTCATTCATTTTTTTTTAAATTAAAAGTTTTATTATTTATAAAACAAATACTCACATTTTTATAAAAACAATTTAATGATTAAAATCACAAATACTTATTTAATAAAAATTCAATATTGTCTTTTGCATATCTTTTTTACATATATATATAAGTTTATATATAAGTTTTTATACAGAGAATTCATTTTTCAGTACGCCCTGGGTTTGCAAAAACTATAAACAAATCACAAGGCCAAATGCTTCAAAAAGTTGGAATTTGGCTCGAGAAAATCCGAAGAATTTATTATTCGCTGTGTAATAGGAAAAAGGAAAAAAATTCTTTAAAAATATTGTTTACCATGAAGTCGTATAAAATTAAATTAAATTAAAGAAATTATTAAACCTGCGAAGTAGGTTTTTTCTCAAAGTATTTTTGCAAAGAAATCAGCTTCTTCAAATTTCATCGATTGGTTTGTGAAATTGAATGAAACGCACAGTTTGTAAATCTCGACAAAAAATGATAGCGATAACTTCAGCAATACTAAATTCTGTAAAGATACTAGTAAATAAAAATGCGTACAAAATATTTAGATTTCGGCATCAAATAAGCCTATAGAAGTTTATATGCCGCTAAACAAAAACAACCAACCAAATCCAAACCTACCGGAACACTTCGAAACAATACTCTCAGCTATGGCACCTAATAAATGGCACCTATCTTTTTTTGCTGTTTGGACAACCTTTTTCCCCTTTTCTCGAAACAGAAGAGCACCAAATACAAATAATGCATCACATTTTTTTGTTTTCACTTTTAACGTAAAAAAACATTTAAACTCTACAATCTACACACAAATCGTATAGGAAGATATCACCTTTCAGAATATATATATATATATATATATATATATATATATATATATTGTAAACTTCAGTCAGGTGTGGGACGAAATCACGTGTTCAAAGGTCATCTAGTGAAAAACGCTGCTAACTTTTGCTGCAAAACAATATGTGAATCTTTTTTTTTTTTCTTTTTTTGCTTTGGGGGGTCAGCTTTCTTTCGCTGCCATCTTGGAAATAAGCAACTCTCTCTATCATCAGGCATGGAAGAAAGAGCTTTTTGCATTAATATCTAATGAATCTGTCAGTGTTTTATTGTTTTCTTTTTACTCTCGCCTATTTGCCAAACATTAATGCAATATAGGTGCAGATATTCTATCCATTAACAAACTTGCTTCCTCGTTAGTCTTCCCCACTGGCGGGGGGGGTGAGGCGGAAAGGATGAACAGGCTCCATCTCAGGCGTGACTGCAAACAGTTGTTTTCTTTGAAGTATTGATCCCCAATTGATCAGCTCATCAAGATTTGATCGAGGAGGCAATTTGATAATGGGCAGAACATCCGTAATCAATTTTAAATGATAGTCGGTGGCCAGTCCGATAGAGATGTGTCTGTCTGCAGTTGACTGTCCATTATCGCAATGGCTTTGTTGGTATGTCAAGAGGCTGGACAACAAAAAGATCGCCAATGCTCACAGTGTATTTCTGTAGATATTTTTGGTTCTGTAATATTTTGGATTTATTTAAAAAGTTATTGAAATAATTCAAAATTGGTTCAGGCGTAGTTCTCTGATAAATCATTGGCAATGTATTCCTATAAAAATGAGCAAAGAATTTTAGCAGCATTTTCAGTACAGTTTTAAGATAGATCCTTCATTAAAAAAAAGACTATTGCAATGTTTTTTTGAATTGAACTTTTTTCAAGTCGTTTTTGTGTAGAAAATCAATAACATATGATGCCCTAAAGGCGGTCATTCTAAATGAAACCAAGTTATTTCCCTAGGAAATGTGTATGATGCACAGTCTTTGGCGACTCTTGGGCACGGTGCACAGTCATTGACGATTTTTGCGCACGGTCGTCAACGATTCTTCGGCACGGTGCAAGGTCGTCGGCAACTCTGAGGCACATGGATGAACGTCGAAGGCTCTTGTACACGGCGTATGGTCGTTGGCAACACGTTGGTCAGAGCGCACGTTGGTTGTCGTCAACTAGTTCACCACGGCGCTTGGTCATCAACGATCCTTGGACACAGCGCACAGTCGTCGGTGACGCTTGGCCACGGTACACTGTCGGCGGCGACTCTTGAGCATGCCGTATGGTCGTCGTCAGCGTCCCTTGGGCACAGAGCAAAGTCGGCGGCGACTCTTGAGCATGGCGTATGGCCGTCGTCAGTGACTCTTGGGTGCAATGTACAGTCGGGGGCCACTCTTGAACATGGCGTATGGTCGTCTTCATCTTCTCTTGGGCACAGTGTACGGTCGGCGGTGACTCTTGAGCATGGCGTATGGTCGTCTTCATCTTCTCTTGGGCACAGTGTACAGTCGGGGGCGACTCTTGAACATGCCGTATGGTCGTCTTCATCTTCTCTTGGGCACAGTGTACGGTCGGCGGCGACTCTTGAGCATGGCGTATGGTCCACGATCGTCGATGACTCTCGGGCACGCCGAGATGAGTAAGAGATTTATGGTTGAAAGGGCTTTGGTGAAGATTCCCATTTTCATATAAGAACAAGAGATGAATTGCATAACGCATGCGACAATCAAGAGTCGCCGTCGACCGCGAGCTCCTTGCCCGAGTGGCATGTCAGTTGCATACTATGCAATTCATCTTTTTGTTCCTATATGAAAATGGGAATTTTCTTTTCAATCATAAATCTCTTACTCATCACTTTTGATATACTCACCTTCTATTTGCCGCTTACCTTCAGGACATTGACGATCATAGCCCTCCACAACTTCGCTCTGTGTGGCTTTTAGCAGCTTTTCTTCCTTCGCTGAGGCCCACATCACCCATTCCGACATCCGTTCGCACAAGCTCGTCAGGTAAGTGGCTCACTGCCTTCTTCTTACTCCCTTGTTCTCAATATACCCCGTAGTTTTTCTAAGAGCTCCTTCCTCATTATGTGTTCAAGGAATTTCGGTTATCTTTTCCTGATTATGAGTAGAAGTGTCCTTTCTCTTACCATTTTAAGACTTCCTTGTTTCTTATTCCATGGAATTGCCAGTATCTTTCTGTAGAACCATATTTCTGCTTCCTTTAGTTTTTTTTTTATCTCTCATCCGTAGCGAAACTGTCCAATATTCACTGCCACATAAGAAAATAGAAAGCGCCAAACAATCCAGCCATATTTTTTTTGTTTGTCTCTAACGAATTTTTTTCCCATTTCTCCGCACTTTGCTTAGCTTTTGGAAGGCACCTTTTTCCTGCTAGTACAATACGTCCTTGGGATCTCTATGCCAAATTTTCCATCATCTATTAAAATACTTCCCAGATATTTAAACGCCTACTCCTGCTTGATGTTTAATATCTCCAATTTGTAAGTCGCATCTTGGGACTCACTTTCTATTAAAAAAAAATTATTTTGATAATCAGGAAATTTTCATTTTTCTCTTTGAAATGAAATTCTCCCCCCATCCAAAAAAAAAAACGACTATCTTAATACATTTTCCTCGCAAGTAATTACCAACCGGTTTTTGCAGGCGCACTTTTTCAGTCCATTACCAATTTTATATTTTCACGGATTTTTTAAGATTAAATTTCTTCTAATGCGTTTAAAAAAAAATTACATTGTATTGATATGAGGAACGTGTTGAAATATTCTTGGTTCGACCAAAAAAGGTCATCAGGAAAAAATTACAAATTACAAATTTGGTTACACTTTGGAAAGTGGTTCGGGACGAAATCTTTTCAGCACTCTCTTTTTCTTAGCAACAACTCTAAATTAGTCCTGTTCTTGGAATGGGATCTTAAATACTCTGCCCCTCAGGTGCCTTTTCTTTCCACTAAACTGGATTGAGATACGATAAAATACGTTATCGATTTTTATAACTTAGCTAGACTGATCGCGAGGCAAAAGGTCATCAAGTCTAATCTTACTAAAGGCTTTAATAATTGATCAATTATTTCTTACACTCTTTCCGGCATTAACAACAAACGAAGGTGACAAAGGAACTGTCTTTTTCGCTATATTTTTCCAATATAAATAAATCGTTGTTTAAACTTAGTATTGCATATTTAGTATGCATGTTTTAGTGAAGGGTGAATTTACGCATCGGTTCTCGTTTGATCAGTGAAGTTAAGCAACGCTGAGTCAAGTCAATATGTAGATGGTGGAAATCGCTTGATAAAAACAGTTATAGTAACGTCTGGCAAAAAATCCCAGCTTCCATAATAACATCGTCTGCTGAATTATTTTTTAATTATTGTTAAGAGAAATGTTCGTAAGACGGGGATTTGGCGAGCGAGAAAGAAAGAAAGAAAGAAAGAAAGAAAGAAAGAAAGAAAGAAAGAAAGAAAGAAAGAAAGAAAGAATTTCTTAACGTCACCTGCCCATACCTCATAAATAATGGACTATTCCATTTTGACTGCGTTGAAAAACAAGACATGCGTTACTTCGTTTCAGTGAGAAAAAGAAAGAAAGAAAGACAGAAAGAAAGAAAGAAAGAAAGAAAGAAAGAAAGAAAGAATTGCTTAACGTCTCCTGTCAGTACCTCATAAATAATGGATTATTCCGTTTAGACTGCATTGAAAAACAAAAGACATACGCTACTTGGTTTCAGTGAAAGAAAGAAAGAAAGAAAGAAAGAAAGAAAGAATGGAAGATAGAATTAGTTAACGTAATACCTCATAAATAATGGACTATTCCGTTTAGACTGCATTGAAAAACAAAAGACATAGGCTATTTGGTTTCAGTGAGAAAATGAATTAAAGAAAGAAGGGGAGATAGAAATGTTTAACGTCTGTTTCATTGAAATGGAAAACGTTGTCAATTGCAAATCTTTTCATTTGTACCCCCTTACTTCTTAAAATAACAACCAGCATTCATATTTATGATTATTATTGCAATATTTTGTTATGGTCCTAAAATATTTAACGATGCGATCGGGGGAATTTCTACGTATATTTTATTGTCGTGGAAATCGCCATGAGCTTATTCAATCATTAACTGAAGAATTAAGATTCATCAGAAAATTCAAATAGGAAAACCGTAAAATTTTCTCAGGTCTTTCCAGTCCACCTTCATGTATGTTAAAGGATGATTCGATAATGAAGGATTGCATGGGGATAATTGAGGTTAGTAAGACAGTGTTGCGCCAGTCTTTCCAATGTAGCGGACTTACCAACTTTGAAAAATCAGTATTCGAAATTCTATCATCTGAGCTCGGGAACTAACAACTGGCATCACTGAAAAATTAGCACTTTTCTGGTTTGTCAGACAGGTCCTTTTACGATATATTAAATAAGTTTAAATAAGTACCTTCATGAGATCGCTAAGAGGAGTATGGTATGATAAAAAAGACGCCAAACTTGACAAAAACAAAACTTTATCGTGTAAATGTTTATGTCATTATTAAGAGGAAAGATCAAAGTATTTTGGGGGTATTTTTTTTTACATTTTTTAATCATCCCTAGCACATCCAAAATTTTCGTTAAAAATCTTGTTTTTTAGTCAGCAAAATTGACAGATAATCAATCATGTCAACCATTTTTTCCATTTTATAAAAAAAAATGAAAATCTCAGTTTGAAATTCTTTTAAAAATCAATTATAATTTTTTCAAAATTTATTTTAAGAAAATCAGAAATTATAATGTTTATTTTAAATATTTTGAAACAGGCTTAACTTAGTTTCTGCGCCGAAAAGATGTAGTTTGAAAATAAAGCATTTCGCGTCACTTGACAGGTGACAAATGTCATTTTCATGATTTATTGATAGCTTACGTGAGGATAATTCCTTCTACGGAAGTGAAAATATTTAGATTTAAGTGAACAAATTATTTACCTCATTATTTTTAAGGAAAACTTTCAGTGCTCTATTTTTTTTTTTTTTTACTTAGCTTTCACCTTTACGTTTACGATGCTTTATGGAAAATATAAAGAAATTAAAATAAGATTGTTGAGAGTGAGATTAAATTTAATAAGAAAGATATCTAATTAATTTATAGATACCTTTGTTAGTACATTTTATGAGAAGTGTACATAAAATACAAATTTAAACTTCATAAGATGATACTGATACTTGTAGGTACCCATCTCAGTTGAAATTGAAAAATCAAATTAACTTCTCCACACGTGTTTCGCAAAAATAAATCTATCTCAAAAGGACATTTACGAAACTGAATGCGGCTTTTAACTAATTTTATAATATTTTAACAACTTAAATGTAAAAATCTATTATAATTAAAGAAATAACAAATAATTGTATTAAAAATTCAGTATTTACGTTAAATACTAGACAGAAACTCAATCCACGTGACTTTTTCTTTTCTTTTTTTTTTTAATTATAATAGATAATTATTTTTATTTTTGTAAGATTTCCAATATTAATGGTCTGTCATACAGGAAAAAAACGCGCCAAAAATTAATATTATTTTACTAGTTCCGGTGATACAAAGAGAAACAAGTTTTTTTAATCAAAATTTAGAATGTCATAAAAAAGAAGGAAAAAATTTTTAAATTATTAAAAAATACTTTGATCTTTTATCTTAATAATAACATAAACATTTAAACGATAAAATTTTGTTTTCGTCAAGTTTGGCATCGTTTTCATGCTATGCTCTGTTTTTAGCGATCTCATGAAGACACCTAAGTTTAAATCTGATACAAAACAAAATGTGAAAGGTGCTCGTTAGGGATCGAACTCACTACAGCAGTTTGCTAGTCTAGTTTTCTAGTCGTTTTTTTCCTGAGAAATCGCCTCGTTGAAATACATGATCGATGTCAAAATAAACGACATTGTGTGTCCCTACGTAGGTGTGGAATTGCTAGTAATAAACTTGATAATCATCTGTGCGCATTTGCTTGAAATTTAACAAGGGAAATATGTTAGTAAATTTCAGTCGGACCTGACAAGGTGTGTTGCTCTACCATACGTTGTTTAAAGTATTCCGTGTACAACAGAAAGACCAGCTGTTTCTATAGATTTTTATAACACATGTAGAACATGTTAACTCTTTTAATTTTAATTGGATACATACATTCTTGTGCAAATTAATTGAAACAATCGCTTTAGTTTCCTTTCTTTCACCATACAATCAGTTTTAGACCTACCGGAGAGACAGGGTGTAATCAATTTCTATTTTTTCCTCAGATTAGGTCATTTGCTGCAGTAATATCTTCGGGGTGTATGATGAAATTTGTTTGGCCTTGAAAAACATCCGTAATTGCATTAGATTTTTATCGCGTCCAAACACTATTGTCTCGACTGTCGATTAGTTGTCCTACGGCCATTATCTGCGATGGACGTTACTCCAAGGAAGCGTACGAAATTTGTAACGCTGCACAAACACAATGGCAAGCCTTACCAGTGAGTAAATCAAAGTACTATCGACTGGCTCGAAAACTCTACTGATTTAAATCTAATCGAGAATCTGTGGCCAATGTGCAAGGAACGACTTCGGGGAATGGAGATACAAGTACTGACATGTGCACTGGGTCATGTTTCATTGGAAAAATACGAAAAAGTAAATGATAACGCAATTATTCGTTTTGTTTCAATTAATTTGCACATGGGTGTATATATATATTGTTAACTGTTAATATATTGTTAATATATTTGTTAAAACAAAGCAAATTATGTCCCAACTTTTGAGGACATGTATCCTTATTTGAGGAATTTTTCAGTTTAACGTTTGCTTGAAATGTAACAAGAGAAATATGTGAGTAAAATTCATTCGGACCTGACAAGGTGTGTTGCTCTGCCATGTGTTGTTGAAATAATTCCTGAATGTCTTACGAACACATTGGTATTTTTTAAAAACTACTCGTAAGCTACTTCTGCAAAAGACGAGTCAAAAGAGACAAGCAAATCCGTCAAAACTTTCATTCTCTCATTACAATTCACCCAATTCGCCCTTGCATGGAGTATTGCTGCCATATATGGTCTGGAGCGCCTTCTGTTTGCTTCGGGGTTCTTGATAGGCTCCAGAGGCGGATATGCAATATAATTGGCCCTGATCTGGCATCTCGTCTACAGTCACTTTCTCACAGACGCGCCGTCGCCTCTCTCTGTCTGTTCTACAAATAGTTTCATGGCAATTGCTCCGAGGAGCTGCATTCGCTGGTTCCCAGACTTCATGGGTTCAAGCGCCCTACGAGGCTGGCATCCCGCTCTCACCCCTTCACTGTCGAAACTCCTAAATGTAGCCGTCTCTTCTACTCCAGTAGCTTCATGTCGCGCACCTCTCGCCTGTGGAACTCCCTTCTCTATTCCAGTTTCCCTGAGAGCTATAATCTCCAGCTATTCAAATGTAATGTCAATCGACATCTCCAGTTGCCTTGATCTATCCACTACCCTCATCCTCATCCTTTCTTCTATCACTGCTATCTGATCTTTCTCTAAATTTTCTGTAACCCCTTGCGTCCTAGTGGCTTCCCGCCGTGCTTGGGGTGAAACGCTTAAAAAAAAAAAAGAAAAAAAAAAGATTATATATATATATAGTAAGAGAAAAAATACTTAGTGCATTTATAGAAATATATTGATTTGGTTTGTTTGTTTATTGGTATATCAACACCTCATGGGTCATTTAATGACGAAATTTAATTTCCTTGGGAGCTTTGGTAAATTTTTTTCTATTAAAACCTATTGCTGGAATTTTTTTCTATTAAAATCTGTAAACCCTTTTTCTATTAAAATCTCTGGCTGAAAACTTTTTTCTATTAAAATCTATTACTGAAAACTTTTTCTGTTAAAATCTATTGCTGGAAACTTTTTCTATTAAAATTTATTACTAGAATTTTTCTATTAAAACCTATTGCTGGAAACCTTTTTTCTATTAAAATCTGGAAACTTTTTTCTATTAAAATCTGGAAACTTTTTTCTATTAAAATTTATTGCTGGAAACTTTTTTTATTAAAATCTGGCAATTTTTTCTATTAAAATTTATTGCTGGAAACTTTTTTCTATTAAAATCTGGAAACTTTTTTCTATTAAAATTTATTGCTGGAAACCTTTTTTCTATTAACATCTATTGCTGGAAACTTTTTTCTAATAAAATTTATCGCTAATTTTTTTTTCTATTAAAATTCATTGTTGGAAACTTTTCTATTAAAATCTCTTGCTGGAATTTTTTTACTATTAAAAAGTATTGCTGGTATTTTTATTATAAAATGTATTTCAATACTTTCATAGTGTTTAGACAGTCACAATTTGCTGGGACCCTAACAGGTGCTACCACCACGGGTCAGGGAGACCTGGGAACAACAGCAATTAAGAGGTGGTTCCACGCTCCTCAAACCGCCAATCTCCCGATTAGAGGCCTTGCTGCCGGATGTAGTTTATCGTCTTACCCAGGGCGAAAATGCATTAGAAATGATTTTCCTGTGCAAAAACCTTACATAGAA